CTGCTTTGTTTGACATAGAAATCACCAAACGTGTATTACATGAGATGAAGGATTGTGGGAAACTATAGACTGTCAGAGCCATGCCTTGCCCTGGAAAAAAAATAAAAAAATCTGTTCATGGTTCTGCTCTAATTCCTATATGGTGCTAGTCAGATTCTGACAGCTTATTTTAAAAAGTATATTTCTTATATCCTACATTCCATACCTCATGTGCTGATGCTTATTCTTGCAACAAAATTCAACCTAAGTTGTTCCCTGATCAAACAAAGTGCTGTATAATGCTAAAGATTCTGAAAATAAATAAATAAATAAATCAAATTGGGCATTTAAAAATAATGAACAAATGGGTATTTGTGATACTACTGTGGTGGGTGTTGTAGATATTAGTAATCCTGTCTCCACCGCAGGGTTTGAAAGGCACCATTACTAAGGCTTTGGTACCGTGCCTTGAGCAATACGGTGAAAAAGAAATATTGAACAGGAGCTCATTAATGGTGCAGACACAATGTTCTGGCTGTATCAGATCTTGTCTTAGGTTGCTAACCCCTCAGATCTGCTGGCAGAAAAGCACTTCTAGCTGCTTCTGTTTGCAAAAATTGTCTGACTTGGTGGGGGCACAGATTTGTCTGACCTTTATATATATATATATATATATATACCCAAAAAGAAACCACAAACCACAGATCATTCGACAGAACTTGCGTTAAGAAATTACTGCAGATGGAACTGTTCTGGCAGATCAGAAAGTGTGATCATATGCCTGGCAGAGAAGGGGTGGTGAGCAGCTGGCAGGAGGACCAGGGCAGTAGACTCTTGCTCGGGATGAGCTGTGATCAAAACACACCTGACCCTGCTCCACTGGAGTGCCACCCCCAGCTACATGTGGTGCATGCTGTGGCTTCCCCCAGAGCAAAGTAACACGAAGTTGGTCTGCTGTACTCACCGCTCAGGACAGAGCCAAAGCAGAGTGGGCAGTCTTTCTTGTAGGGTTTCCTGCCTACAGAGTGCCGAATTTTACAGTCTGAGTAATGTTTTCTGTGCAGGTTTTTGTGCCTAAGTACACATAGAGATACATGTTATGTAAAATATATGTGAATCATGTGTATGTGTGACTTTCCACAACAAATTATCTTTTTGCTATCTTTTCTTTGCCATGCACCAGAAAATACTCTAGGGGGAGATGAATCAGTCCTATACCATGGCCAAAATCACAGTGAGTCTATCAAGTGGCCCTCACAGGGAACATTTAAATCCCATAGGTATTTGAGAGACGCTTAGTAAATTCTGATGCTCTTTAAATATTAATAGCTGGTCTGGCCTGTTGGATGAATGATATTTTGGAAATTTTTCTGTGCAGATCCATGATTTACCAGTGTCTCAGTTGAAGAGGAATGCTTCCTTTAGTTGAATCATTGTGTAACATGTCTGATTCACTGTGGAGTCCTGATTCACTGTGGAGTTACTAAGTGTTGTGTCCCGAATTTCTGGCTGAAGTAAATCAGCACAAGGCATCATTTTGGGGGTGGAAGTGGTGAAGGGAATTTTTTAAATTATTGTCCACAAGTCCAATGTGAACAAAACTGTTTTCCCAACCTAAAGTGAAGACTGAAGGCTTCTTTGATTTATGCCAACTGCTGGTGGCCCCAAGAACAGTATGAAAGGAGAAAGCAAAGGGGACAAGTGCAGCAACTCAGCCTTGCCTGGTGGTGGGGATGTCCTAGTCCTAATCCTTACATCATCCTCAAATATAGAAATCGCTCTGCTCACTTTGTGGTAATTTGAATTGCCAAGTTAGGCAATTCCCTCATCATGAAACTGGATAGCTTTCAGACTGCTCTGGGTTGTCTCTATTATTCCATCAGGCTGAAATGCAGATATACGGAGAGCTAGCAAACCCACTTCTCTGCTGTGGTGTGGTATTTGTGTACAAAATGCTTGTTTTGGTTAAGAAGGCTTTTCCAATGGAAAGGAGGTATAATATTGGCAGAACTCTGATTTCTACCAATTATATGTCTTTTCTGCACTGAAGGAAAGATTGAAAGGTAGTTACAACTGAAGATCCATTTTGTGTAGACAAAAGGTGCTAGGCTACAAGTGACATGGGTGTTGAGTGTAGGTCTTGAGGTGGCTTACAAGACCAAGAGGGCCTGGGACACATTACCAACACCTAAACCTTCCCTGAGGAAGCTAACTTTGTCTGTGAGGAGAAAAATAATCTATTCTCCTTTGAGAATGAAAACTTGGTTTAAAAGTGGAAATGGTCTTCTGATAAACAGTACCATAAAGCTGGAAAGAGCTTTCTGTGACAGCTTTCTGGATGTGATAACCTGGAATAAAGGTCAGTCAGCTGAAGGGGCTATCCACACAGAAACTATTTATGTTATGTACAAGTTGTGCAATTGATTTTTGTAATCCCAGACAAAAGTAGACTCTTCTGAATCATTGTCAGCCTGTAAAAAGCTTCCAAAGACCAAAACTGCTGCTGAAAACCCAGCAGATGGTGGTCAGCTTCCATCTTGGCATCCACCATTACTGTTCCATCTACCTAAAATTGCTGTTATTAGTTAGAAAAGGCATTTTTCATTTCCTGTTCCACACTCATGTGTGGAGTTACCGTGCACTATTAGCAACTAAATGACGGTTTTCATTTCAGAAACAGATGAGGGCTGGATCCTGGCAGCTCATCTGTAACTGTGGAAATGGGAAAAGGTACAAGAAGCTGCCTGTTCATAAATGTATAAGAATGGTGCTCTTTTCATCAAGTTTTTGGTTTTGTTTTGTTTTTCCCTCTCCTCAGCCATGGTCTCCTCTCCACCAGGAAGACCATGCTTATGTAGTGTGAAGAGGAGCCCTTGCTGCATCTCTTCAGCAGGTTGCTCTGTAGTTTCTAAAGCATTTTGGACCTCCTCTGGTTATGCATGCTGAGCAACAGACAGTGTCTACAGTTCAGAGCATGATAGCTGCTCCTGGTGACTGGGGTTCATGTGAGTCTGGTTCATTTTCTCTGAAGTTGCTTCAGAAAGTGAAACTGCCCTTCTCCTCTCCCTGGATAATCCCCTTCTGCCAATGGTCATGCATCACCCTCGATGAATTATTCTGTATAGATGGTTTTGAAGTTCTATTGAGTCATCTGTGCAATCCAGGATGGTTTGCTGTTTTTCTGGCTCCACACACACGCATTTTCCAGAACAACCCAGAGGGAATTGCCCTATGCAATTGCTCATCAAGTCTTGTAACTCTCATACGCAATACCCTGCACAGTTCTTCTTTGCCACTTCTATCTCTCTTTCCAAAGCTTAACACAGCTCTTGCAGTATTCTTGCTTTCCTGGTTTTAGCTGAGGTAGGTGACAAATGCATGTTTGCTTTGCAGTTATCTCTGCTGGTTGAAGATGTTGCCAACCCAGGTATTCTATTGTTCCTGTGCCAGAGGTCACCATTCCCACTGACCTGCCAGCAGCTGGAAATATGTTTACATATGTTATTTGCTTCTTTACAAAATTAACTCATTTAACTTAAACCACTAACGAAGGCAGTCTAAACTAGCCCACATGCAGTGGAGCAGCTTGGGGAGTGTCCACACAATCCCTTCTGCTGCCAGAGCTGGAGTAGTAAATTTCATGCAGGACACTAGTGTGCTTAATTATATCAAAAAATAAAAAATAAAATAAAAAAAAAAGAGTAGTAGAGGATATTTATCCACAGACTTGAAATCCAGCTGACTTCCACCTGTGCCATTGGTGGAGGTGATGCTAGGGCATGGATGGGATTTTAAATATTAGCAAATTCCAACACAAACTAAATTAAAATTTAATTACACAGATCTGTAGCAAAGAGGAAAGAAAAAACACAATATCTCACCTCTATTAAAGGATTTGAATTTGTATGGGAACATTTGCAAAATTAAATGTTTAAGAAAAATTGTTTCAGATGATTTGGCCAGGAATAATTATGACTTAAAAACAGACTGTAAATACAAAGAAAAACAAATTAAGCTGGGACATGACGTAGAGGAAGTCTGTAATGAAAGTAATTGTTTTATATTTAATATATTGTTTTCAGCAGCCCCAAGAGGTCTTGCTGCAGGATCATTGGGATCTAATCCTTGTCCCAGGAAACTCAACTGTTGCAAACCTGATCCTGTGTGTGTGTGTGCATGTCTGCATGTATGCTGCTTGTAACAACCCAGCCAATGGCAAGGGCAAGTTCTGGGAATGCAAATTTTTGTCAAAATTCAGGCCATTTCAGGATTCAGTGCAGGGTGCAGCCTCGTGTCAGATACTCATTAGTAAGAGCAGAGAAAAGGCAAACAGCACATGAATGATTTTTTCAGTTTATTTTTAACTTTGATGGACTACAGGTGCCACTGAAGACCACAAATAATAGAGAGCAGATTGGAAAGGTTACCCCTGTGGACTGGAAAGATCAAAGGGAGAATTAATTTGAGGAAAATAGTTCTAAACATAGCAGGTAGCAGCAGAATTAGAAAGCAGTAATGTATATAAAAAGATAGGATGTAGGAAGGATGCAGGAAGTGCAAGAGGAGTCTCTGTAGAATTATAATACTTTGGAGCAAGGCAATATAAAAAGTCCTTGAAGAGATTTTTTTTTTTAGGCCTTGATATAATTTTGAATGCAGGACATAGTATTTGAATATTTGAAGCTTGGAGTTTGAATTGAAATTTGCAATCCCTTAGCTGTGTCTTTCTTTAACTTTTCAATCTTTTTCTTTCAGTGTGGCATCAGGTACATTTTTATAGCTAGGAACTATTCCAAGCCTTAGAGAATCTAAAATCATCTGCCAGGTGTTTGGAAATGAAGAGAAGGTGTTTAAGAATCAGAGTATTAACATGATGACATTACATTACGTGTTATACATACATACAGATATACAAGTCTGTATATGTAAACAAGTGTAGTTTGCAACTTCTTTTACTCCTTCTGTTGGGGCCCCAAGGCCACTTGCAGGCCTTAATGCCCTGACCAGCCTCACCTGTGGTCTCCACCTACCTTAAATGCTCTCAGAAAACCTTTTAAGCTTAGCCTGAGATCATCAGTCCCTGCCTGAGCTATTTGGAGGAGTGCTGGTCTCCAGCTCAGGTGCGCCTGGCCGTGGAGTCCTTTTATCCTGAGCTTTGTATGCAGATTGGTCTCCCAGCTTGAACTTGGCTCTGCCTCATCATCACAGCTCTGCCTGGAATTTTCTAGACCTGACCCATAGACTGGCTTCCCGGTTTGACCTTAGACCTGCCCTATCACTATGCTTTTGGCTTGTGACATGGGCTCTTGGTTGGACCCGGTTACCATCTTTGAGTCTGTCCTGCTCGGTTCACTCAGGTGGTGTGGGGCAGGCCATGGGATCACCTCAGCTCCTCACCTCCTCTTCCCTTGAGGAGAAGACCTGCTCTTGCTGCTCTCTGATGCTCTCTTAAAATATGTTTGTTAATGTGTAGGGATGAGCTAGTGTGGCTGTCAGTACTTAAGCAATAGTAGATAGTGATTTCTGTCCCCTCTGCAGAAGCTTTCTAACTGAAGTTCTTTTTGTCTAATGAAGAAGGAGTCACTTCCTACTGGCTCCTCTTTCCCTGGAGGCAGCAAAGGGGCAAAAGATGACGGAAGTAAGGAACAGAAACTTCTGGTGCCCCGCCATAACATTTCCACTGCTGAAGAAAATCTAGATAATACTTTTATTTTCAGACATGAAAATTCATGGTTCAGTTTTCTCTAGAGGACTTTGCTCACGAATAAAGATAATCCCATATTCAGTGTTTCACCTGATTGGATTGAGCCTGCAAAGCATTTCTTATCTAGGTAAGAAGCATGCACTAATGTGGTTCATGTGAATGTTTCCAGAGCTTAGTGTTTAGGTTGTAGTCACTGTTTCTTATCAATCAGACTAACATGCTTTTATTTTATAGGTCGAGAGGACTAAGATTGAAACTGGATGGTGTTTCTGCAGTAGAATTCCAGAAACATCATTTTGACTTACTTTTGTGTGTGTATGTGCATGTGACTACATCCAGTCCATTCCACAATATTAAGGAATTGGTTTGGCCTCAGTATTACCATGACGGGGTAGTAAGTCTCAAATCTGAAAACAAGGAATAGCTATTTGCACTTCCGCATCCTCTCTGTGCTCCCATGGTGAGCTGCCTAAGAGGCATGTACCAGATGGTCAGCTAACAGTCTGAGACAATAGAAAAGTTGGTGAAGGAAGCTTCAGTCCTTTTTCTTCCTAACCTGCACCTTCTCAAAATGTGCATTTGGGGAAGAAATAACATGGAGCATATAATATCTCCTTATTCAACCTGGGTAGGAAGAAGTTGGGAGAGTAGTGTGGGGAGGAACAGGATAAAGAGACAAAACAGCAACAAGATAAGTCCTGGGAATGAGTGTGTGGAATGAAGAAGTAATTAAAGTGTAAGTGGAAAGGATGTTTAAAATAACAAAAGCTTATAGGCAGCATGCAGGGAAAAAAAGAGGAAATGCATGGTGAGTGCCATGAGTTTGGCCTCCATAAACCAGATTGAAGCTATCTTGTTTGCTTCATTCTACAATCCATAGCAATTCAGGGAAGTAATTCTGCACCTCTTGACTTCTGTGTTATTAAAATGTTCTTGGCATCTGCTTCGTTTTTAATGCGATTGGTTTTCTAACATAATTAGAATGAATGGATTTTACAGCTTTTTGTATTTTTATTTAAGAAACAACAGAAGTAGTACACAGTTGTGTGTTGTTGTTGTTTTTTGTTTGTTTGTTTTTTACTAGAGAAGTATCTCTAAAGCATTATACCAGAATGGCACTACAGTCTTGATAATAAGATCGTGCATAGCAAGCATTGCAGAACAGGCTCTTAATTTCACACAATGGTTTTGACTCAACAAAAAGGCACAAGCCGTGTTTTGTTAGCCCCACTGATCTCAGTGTCACATTGTGCAAGCTGTTCATAGGATCATATGTACAAAATGAAGGCTGATGTTGGTGGGTGGGGTGGGAAGTGTGTGTATGGGTTATATTAAAATTATGAGCTTTTATGACTCTGTAATACAAACTTATTTTTTTCTCCATTTGAAGCTTACTGGTGAGACCATTGTAAGACTATTAGGAACACTATGGTTGAGTGGTCCCACCAAGCCAACAGGGTGACTTGTGCATTCAAATAATGCCTGTAAAATTTGATACAACAAGCACTTAAGCATATGCTCTCTCTTCCTGAAGGCATGCTTGCTGGCATTAGTAGGACTTAACAGGCACACAAGCCCTTTCCTGAAGATACACACAGGAAAAACTGCTTCATAAGGTATGCCCCTCTCCAGAGAAGGGTTCATACTCTGCTATATACTTTTCCCCGCTTCTCTGTACCCTGGTGCCCAAAGCCTTCATGGAGCTGAGTTTCTTCTTTCCCCCTCTATCTGTGTTCCTAATCTAAGTTCACTCCTAATCTAAGTTCCTCCCCTATCTGTGTGCCAGATTCTCCACATCTGGGTAGGTCCTCTTACCTTAGCAGGCCTGGCCTCCATGCTGGGTTTCTTCAAGTGTAGCGCTGACCAGGGCATTTGGCACCCATGTCAACCTCAGTGCTGTTATGAGTTGCCTGCATGCCACATTTGAGGTTTCACAGGCTATCCAGCTACTCCTACAGCCTCCAGTAGGATTTTGATAGCAATGATATAATATACATATCTCAGTGGAGCTATGCCAGTTCAAACTCAGGGAGGATCTGATGTCTTCCACTTCTTGATTTACTATGAGCGTAACTGCTAGCTGAATTGTGCACCAGTGTCAGATTCTCCTCTCCACTAACATGCTCACATTTAATTCATCAGTATGATTGTTTCACCATTTGGTCAAAACACAATATATGTTCTATTTTTGTGACATAGGAAAGGCCTTAGTACCTGCTGTAAAAAGGAGCCTGAGGAGTGATTCACCTCTGAAGTAAATGAAGTGCTGTTTTTTCTGCTGAAGCACGTCTTAAGCCAATAGATGGGTAGATCTGAGGCTTCCTATTGTAACCAAGAGTACATTTTGACATTGCATTTTAAGACATTGCACTGTTTGCATCAGAAATTGGTGGTCAGAAGGACTAGGGAAGTTCAGTGCTGTGTTCAGTTTTGGGACCCTTTTCACAACCAAGATTTGGGTTGCTTGAGTGTGTGCAGAGAAGAGGACCAAAAACAGGTGAAGAGAAAACAAGAGGAGTGAGGAGTGGCTGGGGGCCCTGGGGCTGCTCAGCCCAGAGGGGAGGAGGTTGAGGGCAGAACTCCCAGCTCTCCACAGCTGCCTGACAGGAGGCTGCAGCCAGGAGCAGTTTGTCACTCTCCTCCGTGCTCAGGTGACAAGCAACAGGACACGAGGTGACAGCCCCAAGCTGCACCAGGAGGGGCTTGGGCTTGGTGTCAGGAAGGATTTCCTCTCAGAGAGGGTGGCCAGGCCTTGGAAGGGGCTGCCTGGGGCAGTGGTGGGGTCTCCAGCCCTGGAGGTATTTAAGATGCAGTATTTGGGAAAATGTTTTAGTGATGCACTTGGTAGTGTTAGGTTGATGGTTGGACTTGATGATCTTAAGGTCTTTTCCAACCTAAGAGATGCTATTCTATTGTAAAATATAGTCAGGTCTGAAAAACTTTGTCCCCTCTTAGAGAAAAGGAGCGTTGCAGCCAGGATGTGACAAGCTGATAGCACAACCTCCTGAAAAGGGTGCAGCCGGACCTGAAGAAGCCCTGACAGAGGTGGCGAAGCCAGTCTGACCACTCTCTGTGTGACCAAGACCAGGGTATTTTTCTCAGTACAACTTAGCAGAGTGACAAGCCAGCCTTGAACTAGGTATCCTAGTTGTATCATTGTTGCTCTGTATGCCTAGTTTCCCTCTATCTTTTATGCTACACAGGTAATTGTTCATCCATGTGTGAAAAAGGGTATATGATGCAGTCATGCTGCTGTGATAGGATTTTGGAGAATGAGAGTTAGGGCTCTTACAGCTTTGGCTTTGTGAAATTTTGGGACAGCTGCAAAATAGCAAGTGCTGTGTTTTCAATTTGCATTTATTTGCTAAAGCGTGTTTTGAAACTTTATGCTCCTTAGCATTGTGGCCTGACACTTGTTAGCCTTTGTTTTTAAAAACAGATATAAAAACTTAACAAATTCATTGACCATAGCTGGAGAAACTGATTTCTCAGGAGACCCATAAAGGGAGAGATTACATGGCAAGAAAGGTATCAAGATCACTCAAAGCAAAATCTGTACATTTGGTTATTGCTGTAGTCCTTTGGATTTAAGGGTGACTTGCGGAACTTAAATGATTAGAAATACTATAGCCTATAAAAGGTTCTACATGTCTGGCTTGTGATGCATCATTGCAAGTACTCTCTATTACTTGAATGTCATTTCAGTCAGGAAAACAAGGCTAGAGGAACTTGAAGTTTCACTCTTGAGCTGTGATTGCTTATTTGCAGTATGCGTAGCAAAGCAAACATCCCAGTAATCAGAAATTTTAGCTTGAAATTTTCAATGCAAAGTTTTTCTTTTTCTTTTTCTTTCTCTCTTTTTTTTTTTTTTTCTCCATATTTATGGCCTTCTTTTACTCACATATGTACTGGAGAGTGTATGAGAGAAAATGTATACAGGGAAGAAAGTAAGGAAATGAATAATACGTCATCAACCCTGCAAACTTTGAGTTGCTAAACTAATTTTATGTGCTCAGAATGTGATATTTAAAAAGAACTCTCTCATACATGTCTGTGGCAAACATAATGCTAGACTGCAGTTGAATGGCAAAAATACTTTCAGAGGAAACCACAGGATGAAATGCTTTTCAGTCATTCAGATATGTTAACATGTTTATGGACAGATGTAAAGAAAAAGCATACCATAGCAAACATCTTGGCAAGGTGAACACGTCTTAACTGCATGTATGCCTTCTGTTTCTTCAATAGATAAAATAAAAGGCTTTGCAAAAAAATGCTGGCAAACCACACTCTATTTAAATGAACTGTTCAGAACCTAGAACTACTGGAAAAAAAAAAAAAAAAAGAAAGATCAGAGCAAACCTGTGAGCTGATGTGAAGGGAGATGCAGTGGAAAATGTGAGCAACTTTATGAAAAAGTTCAGAGATGGCAAGAAACGTATCTCAGTCGAGAGTAAAAGTACTTTGTTGGAGGAAGTAAAATGGCTGCAAAAGTACAGAACCTGCTGAGCTACAGAGAAACAATTCTTTCTGAAAAGACAGAAGCAGTTCTCAGGGAAAAGCAAAAAGCTCTGGGACTTGCTTTTCATGGATGCATCTACACTAACTTCAGAGCACCAGCCCAAGCTGAAACTTGTCTTGTGTGTTTGGACACAAGACTGTGCTCAGGGCCTTGGGTAAGCTCCATCTCTGGGAGGAGGAAGGGAGGCTGAGCTGTCTCAGCCTTTCAATGTAACCCCAATAGTATTATATCCTGCATGGCATGTGACCCTGTGCCTTCTCCTGAATCCTCCATTGCCCATCTCAAAGTTGCATGTGACCATAGCTCCCTCCCAGAAGCGGCTGATGCTGCATCCCACAAAGCCCTGCTGTCACTGCCATCATGGAGGGTTTGGCTAGGCAGAGTGTACAGCCAGTCTGCAGAATGCTGAGGAGGAGCCTCTTGCTCTTGGCCATGTCATGGTCTCTGCAGGGAGGCCTGGGTTGCACACACATGGCCTGGGCATGGCGCTACAGCCTCAACAGAGCTTGTGGTACTGAAGGAGACCTCACAGGGACTCTGTGAGAAGGTGTCCTCCTCAGCAACTGCTTCACTCTGCGGCTGATCTCAGGTTCTGTGACCAGACATATGAGGCCTGGTGTGCTGGGAAGGAAGACGGAAGGCTGAATGAATGTCTGCAAAAATGTCTGGTTAATGATATCTGAGAAGGTTTAAAGCTCTGTCAGTAAATCATGCCCTGTATCACTCTGTTAAGCTGGAGCTGGGTGGACTTGCCGCATTTCTTGGTGGCCATCACACACAGCTGTGGTACACAGGAGAGGTAGAAAGTAAGATTGGGCCAAAATTCCTCACCGGAGCATTTTTCCACTGCATAATACCAGTTTGTCCAAATGGGAAGGAACTGAATCAATCTACAGGACAAAAGAAAAGCAATGCCCCTTTCAGACACCCTGGGAGTGGAGACGGGGGACACTGCTGCCAGGTCCTGAGCAGGGAGGTGCTCAGAGCAGAAGGCAGGTGGCCAGGCCCCTGCTGGTGACCCTGCCTGCCCCCAGGAAAACGGCTGGCTGCTGCTGACAAGGGCAAGGTGTGGGTATCTGGGGTGACAGTTACTGCCAGAGAAAAGTGGAAAAAAATGGCTGCCCCTGGCAGCAGCAGATGCTGCCGTATCTCTCTGGCCTTGCTGTAGGAGCACAGCCCTGGAAATGCTCTGAGCACTAGCTTGTACCAGGTAAGCCACGATCCTTCAGTTCCTCTGGCTGATTTGGGCTGAATGAGGAGCCTCAGAGCACAAGCTATTAGATGGCAATTCTCTTAACAAGCCCTTTATGTTAATTCAATAAAGGCTGCTTATGGAATTTCCCTTCTCTGAGAAAATTTCAACTTTTACAGAGAAATGGTGCACAGTCTTTTTTTTCTTTCCTTTTCAGGACTTCAGAAGTTACCTCAAAAATTCCCTGAAGCCTTAATAATAAAGATTCTGTCATGTGTTGGGATGTAATGTACAGTATAACATTTTCACATTTGATGCTCAGCACAGTTAAATTTACCACAGTGCTTCTCATTCACTATATACCAAGAATTCTAGCAAAATCACATACTGTTCAACTAGAGATTTATCACGGGGTGCTTAACAATGAATTATTTAAAAGTACCTAATGTATCATGGTTTCTTGAGAGCCTAATGTGTGTGTGTGTATATATTTATACATAAAATACCTGTGAGCCATTAAAGAATACCAGTTTCTGAGCGTAGGGGTTTCAAGTGTAAATCTAGAGGATGTTTAAAAATAGGCACCCTCCTGAAAGTGTAGTTGAGTTTTAGCAGGAAAAAAGCCTTAATCTTCACTGTTCGGATATACATGCAGTCATTTAAAAGGAATCTGTATCCTGTAGGGCTTCTTTTTGGTGAGATTTTTAAAAGTATCTAAATTCTGCCATGAAAGTTTTTTTTTTCAGCATGCTTACTGATGTGACATTTCAGATGTTGCTGAAAACTTTAAAAAAAAATTCCCTCATTTGCAGGTTTGAGAAGATTACTACATGCCTCCTACCAGCAAGCGTACATAGTACTTTTCCCAATGTGCTGTGCTAAGCGGGTATGCACTTCCTTTTTACTGATGGAAAAACAGACAGACAAAGATGAAGTGGTCTACCCAGGCTTACACGGCCAGGAAACAAACAGACCGTTATGCTGTCTTTTCAAAACTTTCCCAGGGCTGCTCCGGGGAGCAGTTTTTCTGCCACCCTTGAGATGAACCAGAGACTACTCTTTGGGTCCTACCCCTGCTCAGTCGGGGCGTGCAGGCTGAGGAGCGGCAGCAGCTCATGGCTGCTTCTCCAAGTCCTGGTGGGAACAACCTCATGGGGTCAGACTTTCAGTTCTGTGTTGTGTACTCGGACCCAAATCACCTTTTTTTTTTTTTTCTAAATGGCACCATTTGATAAATATGAGTACCCCACTGTCCTCTTCTCCCCCATCAAGGAGCCGCCTCCTCTTTTCCATCTCAATGAGTTGCTCTGGAAGGACAACTTGTGCTTGTCTGCAGAGGAAGGGCACTGGTTATACCTCTATACATATTGGTGAGCAAAAATGGATGGATTTTTACATTGCTGGGTGGGATGCAGTTTTACTTCTTTCAGTTTCCTGCTGTCTATCATGCTATCTTGCAGGTCAGAGCATCTGTGTTGAACTTACTCAGGACCTTGCAAAGAAATGGGTGGCTTGGGACTTCCTTTGGCACCTGCAACAGCTGTGGCATCTTATGAGGAAGGGCAGCATCTGATTCTTCCTCCCTTACAACATGCTGACAACAACCTAAAGCTTTCCAGCAATGGGTAGAATAGGAAGGAGCGAGATGGGTGAAGGGCAGCTAAAGATGCCAAGTGGAGGTCCAGAGCTAATTTCAGAGGTCACGTGAGCTCAGGTTTGTGACTGGTCAGATCTGGTGGACAAGTTTCAGCTGTCAGCACCTGGGGGCGGGGGGTCAAATTCATCATATCAGCATCCTCAGGCTAATGGCATTTCTGTTCTTCAGCAAGTCAGAGCCCTAATTCTGAAAGCCAGAGGGGGAAGATGAAAAAGCTCCTCTCAAAGAGTTCATCTTTTTCTTCTCTGACAAGAGGCAGTGGAATGGAGTATTTTTCCTAAGGATTCTGTTTGAGGATTCCATCCTCCCATGACGCTCTAATTAACAATGGCAACGAACGTCACCTCAGCCTTACTGTCTGGCTGCAGACTAGCCTGGTTGTTTGCAGATGGATTATCTGCCTGGCTTCTGCCTCCAGCAGGGAGCCCACCACTGCCTGCAAGCCACGCGTGTTTTCAAGGCGGAGATTAAGTGAGCTCAGGAGGAAAAATGGCTCAGACCGTGACCAAAAGCTCTGGTTTCATGTCTGCACCCAGCTCTGCAGTGAGTGACTGCCTCTCCTCACCTTGGTTTCTCCCATGTGGAAGGCAGCACTTGTGAAAGCCATGATGAAATATAGCTTGAAATAGGGCCCCCTGCAAAACTGGGGGCTCTCTGGAAAGGGTGCTCAGCAGGGGCTGGTCTGGGCGCTGCAAACTTCCAGGCGAAGAGGCGGCTGGGGGCCGGGGGAGCGCAGGCGTGGGAGCGGGAGGAGGCATTTAATTATTTCATTGGGGTTTTATGCGCTGAGGGCGGCGTGCGCTGGGGCTGACGGAAAACCTGAGTGGTTCCGAAAAGCTGCCAACACCTTCCCCCCCCCAAAAAAAAAAAGAAAAAAAAGGGGGGAGGGAAGCACAGAAACCAGCAACCCCCCTCTCGGCGCTCAGAGCCCCTCCCTCCCCGTCCTTCTCCGCCTGGGGGGCCGTCCCCGTCCCCACCCCCGCATCGCCCCCCCGGGCCAAAAAAGGGGCGAGCCCGACGCGCCTCCCCCTCGGATTTCCTCCCCCGCCCACTGGCGGCGGCGGAGGGGCTCGGTGCCGGCACGGAAAGTTGGGGGGCCGGGGGTGAGTACCCCGGCGGGGCGCGGAGGGGGGACGGGCAAACCGGGGGGGAGGGAGGGAGGAACCTCCGGGATCCTCCGCGCTGCGTGGCCGTGCCGGTGCCCCGGGGGCCGGGAGGAGGCAGGGGGGAGCGCGACCGACGGCACTAGCGGTTTTATTTTTTTCCTGTTTTTTTTTTTTTTTTTTTTTGGGGGGGGGGGGAGGATAACTTTTGGGGTGTGGGAGGTGAATGGGGAGGGGGCGTCTGGTGCTTAATAGGGCTGCTCGTGGAGGGGGCGGGGGGGGTCCCCCATTATGGGGGCCGGGGGCGGTCCCCGCATCGGGAGGGATGGATGGGGGGGGGAGGACAGGGTGCTCGCCGCCCCTCCCCCAGCGGCCCGCGAGGAAACCCCCTTGGTGACCCCTCCCCCACCCCCCGGGCTCGGGGGGGGAGGGAGGGCAAGGGGGCGGGGCCGGGAGACCCGGTGACGTCACCCGCTTCCTGCAATAGAAAGTGAGGGAGGGTGACGCCCCCCCTCCCTACTTCCCCCCCCCCCCGAGCACCCTTCCCCCGCCCTTCCCCTCCCCTCCCCGCCCTGCCCCGGTCGTCACGGCGTGGCTGTCCCCGAGGGGAGCCCGGGGGGGGGGCGGAGCCTGGAAGGGGGGGGGGGGGGGCACGGCGCTTGGAGGAGGAGGAGGAGGAGGAGGAGGGAGAGGGAGGCTGTGCGAGGCGGCGCCGCTGGGTCATGTTTGTGTTTGAGGCTGTCAAGTGAAGGAGGCTCCCGGCCTCCCCCTTTTCGCCCCCCTCCCTTCCCTATCTCCCCCCCTCCCCCCCCCGCCGGCCTCCCCGCCGCCATCAGCCTCCGCCAGGTTTGCAGCGGGCCCTGGGAGCGGGAGGGGAAAGGAGGGAGGGAGAGGCACCGATGGGGGGGGGGGGTGGGTACTAGAGGGGCTCCGCTCCCCACAACCCCCCCGTGGGGTCCCCCGTGTTTTGTTTCTTTTTTTTATTATTTTTTTATTTAATTTTTATGGTGCTGTTGTGCCCCCCCCCCCCCCCAGGTGCCCGGCGTGTGCGCAGCGCTTTGTTCGGCGCGGCGTTGCGGAGGGGTTTTCCCTGGCTCCTCCCTCTCTCTTCATTCATGTTTTTTTTTTTCCTTTTTTTTTTTTTTCCTCCTTTCTCATTTCCTTCCC